CTATATGATATAGTCGTCCGATCCGGCCCGTTCCGACATATATAGCAGTGAGAGTATATAGAATACTATATGCAAAGTTTCAACCAGATAGCTTTAAAACTGAGGGACTAGTTTGCGTAGAAACGGACAGACGGACGGACAGACGGACGGACAGACGGACGGACAGACGGACAGACGGACATGGCTAGATCGACTCGGCTGTTGATACTGATCAAGAATATATATACTTTATAGGGTCGGAAAGGTCTCCTTCACTGCGTTGCAAACTTCTGACTGAAATTATAATACCCTGCAAGGGTATAAAAAAGCCCTAAACGTAGTATGCATATTTGTTAAGCGTAGAAAACCCAATTCAGAACAGCTTTCCGAATTGTCCTCCAAAATTTGATTTCAAAATTTAAAATAATACTTTTTCTGGCTGAAGGAGTCATTTCCGACCCCATAAATCATATATATTCTTGATCAGCATTAACAGGAGAATCGATTTAGCCATATCCGAAGGAAAAATTTTTTGAGCCATTTTCTCAAAATTTGATAAGGGGTACCATCATTAAAATTCTCAAAAATTGAGAAAAAATGAAATGAAAAAAAGCCCTAAACGTAGTATGCAGATTTGTTAAGCGTAGAAAACCCAATTCAGAACAGCTTTCCGAATTGTCCTCCAAAATTTGATTTCAAAATATAAAATAATACTTTTTCTGGCTGAAGGAGTCATTTCCGACCCCATAAATCATATATATTCTTGATCAGCATTAACAGGAGAATCGATTTAGCCATATCCGAAGGAACAAATTTTTTGAGCCATTTTCTCAAAATCTGATAATGCCCATATGATACACTAATGCAGTTTTCATTAATTAGCTACTTCATTAGAACCTTGAAAGAGACCACTATATGTGTAATTTTGTGTAATTTGGCTTGAATTTTGCTTGGATTATTTTGGTAATACGACTACGGTCACACCGACCGTAAAAGGTAAACAAAAAAAAACGGCCGCCATTCGAGGCGTATTACTATGAATTTCTGAATTCCTCGTCGAAGTATTCTTGCATAAATAAATGCAGAATCCTTTAAATTTATGTTTTTAACGTATAATGCTTAAATTTTTTTTAATTATTACCAAAAAAAAATGTTTAAATTAATTTTACAGCGTAAGAACCTTGCCCTCGCAAAACATATTATTTTTCCTAATTTTCTAATATTTTTTCAGTTCAAAAAACCAGCGAAATGATATAAAAATAAAATTCTCATTGTGAGACCATACTGTCAATGAGCTGGCTAATACATTTTTCAATTACAATTTTCTTCATTAAACCCGTATTTTGTTATCGAGTATCTAGTATATAATATGTAGATCTATCGATTATCGCGTCAATGAAGTAGCTTATGCATTATTCTAATGCATTAGAGCGCAATATAGTCGTCTTGCTCGCACTTGTGTAAAACGCTATAGCACTGTCAAATTTTTAATGAAGTCTCTAATTAATGCGGCAGTGTCATGCCAGTATAAGGGGTACGTACCATCATTAAAATTCTCAAAAATTGGGAAAAAATGAAATGAAAAAAAGCCCTAAACGTAGTATGCATATTTGTTAAGCGTAGAAAACCCAATTCAGAACAGCTTTCCGAATTGTCCTCCAAAATTTGATTTCAAAATTTAAAATAATACTTTTTCTGGCTGAAGGAGTCATTTCCGACCCCATAAATCATATATATTCTTGATCAGCATTAACAGGAGAATCGATTTAGCCATATCCGAAGGAACAAATTTTTTGAGCCATTTTCTCAAAATCTGATAAGGGGTACGTACCATCATTAAAATTCTGAAAAATTGAGAAAAAATAAAATGAAAAAAAGCCCTAAACGTAGTATGCAGATTTGTTAAGCGTAGAAAACCCAATTCAGAACAGCTTTCCGAATTGTCCTCCAAAATTTGATTTCAAAATATAAATAATACTTTTTCTGGCTGAAGGAGTCATTTCCGACCCCATAAATCATATATATTCTTGATCAGCATTAACAGGAGAATCGATTTAGCCATATCCGAAGGAAAAAATTTTTTGAGCCATTTTCTCAAAATTTGATAAAATTCTCAAAAATTGAAAAAAATAAAAAAATGAAAAAAAGCCCTAAACGTAGTATGCAGATTTGTTAAGCGTAGAAAACCCAATTCAGAACAGCTTTCCGAATTGTCCTCCAAAATTTGATTTCAAAATATAAAATAATACTTTTTCTGGCTGAAGGAGTCATTTCCGACCCCATAAATCATATATATTCTTGATCAGCATTAACAGGAGAATCGATTTAGCCATATCCGAAGGAACAAATTTTTTGAGCCATTTTCTCAAAATTTGATAAGGGGTACCATCATTAAAATTCTCAAAAATTGAGAAAAAATGAAATGAAAAAATGCCCTAAACGTAGTATGCAGATTTGTTAAGCGTAGAAAACCCAATTCAGAACAGCTTTCCGAATTGTCCTCCAAAATTTGATTTCAAAATATAAAATAATACTTTTTCTGGCTGAAGGAGTCATTTCCGACCCCATAAATCATATATATTCTTGATCAGCATTAACAGGAGAATCGATTTAGCCATATCCGAAGGAACAAATTTTTGAGCCATTTTCTCAAAATTTGATAAGGGGTACCATCATTAAAATTCTCAAAAATTGAGAAAAAATGAAATGAAAAAAAGCCCTAAACGTAGTATGCAGATTTGTTAAGCGTAGAAAACCCAATTCAGAACAGCTTTCCGAATTGTCCTCCAAAATTTGATTTCAAAATATAAAATAATACTTTTTTCTGGCTGAAGGAGTCATTTCCGACCCCATAAATCATATATATTCTTGATCAGCATTAACAGGAGAATCGATTTAGCCATATCCGAAGGAACAAATTTTTTGAGCCATTTTCTCAAAATCTGATAAGGGGTACGTACCATCATTAAAATTCTCAAAAATTGAGAAAAAATGAAATGAAAAAAAGCCCTAAACGTAGTATGCAGATTTGTTAAGCGTAGAAAACCCAATTCAGAACAGCTTTCCGAATTGTCCTCCAAAATTTGATTTCAAAATATAAAATAATACTTTTTCTGGCTGAAGGAGTCATTTCCGACCCCATAAATCATATATCGGCGAACAGGTAATTTCTATAGGCACGTCGTCAATAATGTTCTCCTGTTGCCTCAACCGCTGTTGATTCATACCAAGCTCTGGCTGATGCGGTGAGTCTTCGCTGCCAATGTTGCTTTCCATATCTTCTTATAATTCACACACGTGTCACAACCTCGCTGCATCAAAGCCAGAGAAAGAAGAAGGTAGCCAAAAGCAAGTGACCAAACCTAGCAACGCAAACGAAGCCACACCAGACTCAGTTTTCTAACTGAGTCCCCATACCACCAGAACTAGTACCTATTACAAGATTAGTAACCAGCTCATCCCATGGTCACACCGGAGAAAGCCTTTCTCTCCGACATACCTATTACAAGATTAGTAACCAGCTCATCCTATGGTCACACCAGAGAAAGCCTTTCTCTCCGACACGGCCATTCTGACATATACACGTCCTCGTGTCCACCAATGCAATTTTACAACTTTATAACTTTATTGAATACTTCAGAAAACTTAGTTCACTAATTTCAACTCATATTCCATACCAAAACGTTACTTCTATTGTTAACATGTCGTAGGATTATCTTAACAAAACTTCCATTTTCATTTTTATCTTTTAAACATCGTTAACTTAAGCAATAATCAGATCCCTGCTCGTCCATCGCCCACTTGGCTTCACGAATTCATTAATTTCATACATTTCTCGTCCATCGCCCACACTTGGCTTCACGAATTCATTAATTACATACATTTCTCGTCCATCGCCCAACACTTGGCTTCACGAATTCATTTACATTTCTCGTCCATCGCCCACTTGGCTTCACGAATTCATTTACATCTCTCGTCCATCGCCCAACACTTGGCTTCACGAATTCATTTACATCTCTCGTCCATCGCCCAACACTTGGCTTCACGAATTCATTAATTACATACATTTCTAAAGCAACCCTCTTCCATCGTCAATCACATGACGAACACTATTCTGTTTCAATCGGCTCTTCCAACTGAATTTGTTCTTCATTATTTACATCAAGCTCTTCTGGAATTTGCACATCCGGTAACTTTCGCAAACTTTCGTGTGGATACTTGTAACGCCTATTGTTCTGTGTAGACTTCAAAACGTATCGGTCTCCGTCCAATACCTCGACCACCAAGAAGGGTCCTCTGAACTTTGGGTCTAATTTCGTTTGTTGTCTCTCACTGTTTTTAAGTAACACAAAATCACCCACACTGAATCTAATTACCTTAGCCTTATTTTTATCAAATTGCGTCTTCTCATATCTAGCCGCCTCTTTCATGTTTTTATCAGCCAACTCCCTTAATTTAATCTTGTCGATTTCAGTTTCAGTATCACTAATAGGGATCAATCCCAGTGGACGCGCCACTTTTCCAATCAAAAGTTCTAAAGGGCTACACTTAGTGCTACGATTAATTGTACAGTTAAGGGCCAACTGTACATCCCCCAGTGCATCTTGCCATGATCTAGAACTTGTCTCAACCGCCGTCAACAGATTCTTTAGTGTACTCATGACCCTTTCAACTTGACCGTTGGCTCGACTTGCACCTGTTGCAACTAAATGTAATTGTATTTTTTGATTAGAACAAAATTGCATAAACTTTGTACCCGTAAAGCTGCGCCCCTGATCAGCAATCAAACGTGTTGGTACGCCAAAAATAGATATTGAAGATTTCATTGCGTTTATACAAGTATTAGCATCCAAAGAAAAACTGTGAAACAGATACACGTATTTAGTAAAAGCGTCGATTTGTACAATAATGTATTCCTTACGATCACTTTTTCCGCTCAATTTTCCGGATATATCTATGTGAACGGTGTGCCAAGGAATGCTTATTTTTGGAATTGGGTGTAATTCGATTTGGGGTTTTCCTGACGTACCCTTAGAGACTCTGCATGTGATACAGTTTTCCACAAATCTTCGAACATATTTTGCCATTCCAGAAAACCAGTAATGATCATACACCTTATCTAGCGTTTTTTCCCATCCTAGATGCATGATCGACTCATGTACTTGATTTATAACTGACCAGCGGAACGTACGAGGGACAACAGGTAAACAACGTGTTCTTGAATTCCTCTGAATTTTTCTATACAAAACATTTGACCTAATTTCATAAGTGGCAACTAATGCCAGTGGTAAGTCATCATTCTTCAACTTAGTTACAATTTCTGATATTTCTGGGTCCTTTTGTTGTTCCACCAGAATCCAATTTTCCGATATTTCTGTTAAATCAATTCGCTTCTCCTCTATTTTACTTGGTACTGACTTATTCTTTTGACACACCGGATTCCTAGATAGAAAGTCTACGTGTGCCATGCGTTTACCCTCTCTGTATTCAATTTCAAATTCAAATGCTTCTAAAAACTCCCACCAACGATAAACCCTAGGTGACAACTCGACTTTGTTTCGGGAAGATTTGATTGCATTACAATCTGTAAAAATCACGAATTTTCTCCCATGCAAATAGTGACGAAAATGTTTTACAGCATTCACAACCGCTAACGTTTCCAATTCATAAGATGTGTATCTAGACTCACAGGAGCTAGTTGCTCTGCTATAATATTCGACTACATGAGGCCTAGAATTTATGCGATGCAAAAGGATAACACCATAACCAATAGAGCTGGCGTCGGTATGTAGTTCTATCGGAAACTGTGGATCAAAAATAATCAAAACAGGCTTGTTTGTTAATACACCGATGATTTTACCGCGAATTTCTTCATGCTGTGTTTGCCAGTCAAAACTAGTCTTTTCGGATGTCAGAAAATATAAAGGCTTCATCAGTTGTGAAAACCCCGGAATGAACTGACGAAAATATGACGCTAACCCTATGAATTGTCTTAAAGTAGTAACTGACTTCGGCGGAGGCAACGCCATTAGCGATTCTATTTTGTTTGAGTTTGGACGTATCTCTCCCGCTTTTATCTCATACCCAAGATAGTGGACTGTAGTTCTCAAGAAAAAGCACTTTGAAATATTGAATGAAAATCCTGCCTTCACTAAAATGTCTAAAACGAGTTTCAACCGCTCGAATGCTTCTTCCTTTGTTTCTGCCACAATTAGTATATCGTCCATATAAACTATTACAAACGAATGGGCAAGGCTACCTAGTGCCTTCAACACAGCTCTTTGAAACACTGCAGGTGCGTTTTTTAATCCGAAGGGCATCGAAAGAAATTCGTACTGCCCATCAGGAGTAACAAAAGCAGTATAAACAATTGATTCAGGGTGCATTGAAATCTGATAATACCCGCTAGCCATGTCAAGAGAAGTGAAATATTTGGCTCCCCTAAGTCTAGCTATTTGGTCTGATATCAACGGTAATGGGAACTTATCTACAACTGTATTTTTATTTAACTCCCTATAATCAACACAGAGTCTCGCTGAACCATTCTTCTTCTTTACCAATAATGCAGGACTAGCAAATGGCGAACTACTAGGCCTGATGACTTTAGCTTCAATTAATTCATTAATTTTAGCGCGTACTAACTCCCTTTCACTTGGGCTAAATCTGTATGGTCGCCTTTGCACAGTCTTAGTCGATTCAATCAAACGAATATGCATTTCCCCAGTATTCACACGCGTTTGCGGGGTGCCTTCGGTAAAAGATTTTGAGTGTTGCTTTAGTAATGATATTAAACTTTCTTTTTCTTTTCCGTCTATATCAGTTTCAATTTTATCAAAATTAGTGGGTTGAATAGTCTCACAAACGTTTACAATTTTAGTTTGAACAATCTTAAAATTATCGTAAGAAACTTCCACTAAAAATCCCTGAGCCAATATTTCTCTGCCAATTACAATATTATTTTTCATACACTCATCTGGTACTATATGAAACAAAACTGCCAAAGAATTACCATCAACCATGATGTTTGATTCGACTTGTGCGGTACTGCACGTATTGGCATTACCTATTCCCCCTTAAAGAGACAACGTTATGAATTCTCTTACCAACTAGCTTATTAGAAACGCTTTCCTTAATTAATGAGCACTCAGCTCCCGAATCAAAGGTAATTGGAAATCTCTCACCATGAACCAACATGCTCGATTTAGGCTCTCCAACAACGCACAGCTCCACTCTTTTTTCCGATTTCGCTCCCATTCCAGTATGCTGCACTCTTTTTTGACAATTAGTTGCGATGTGTCCCGGCTCCTGGCATCGGTAGCAAGTCACATTTGCCCTTCCATGACGAGGCGGTCCAGAGCGCCACTCGTTTCCAGCCGGCGAAGGTTGAAATCCCATTCGAGATTTACAGTCTTGCTTTTTATGTCCCGATTTTCCACACTGGTAGCATTTGAGTTCAGTTTTAACTCGCTTGGTCTCGGGTTCCCAATTGGATGTAGTAGGACGTTCTTTCAGCACTGCGAATACTTGCAGCTCCGCTTGCAGTTCACGGCGATTGCTTACATGCGTTGTGTGTACCATTCGTTGCATACGCCGGTCGAAGTTAGCCATGTGGCCAAGAACCAGCGCGATGAAAATTTGTTCAGAATTCAAATTACGAAGTTTTGTGCATAGTGATGTCACGCTGCGACTTGCATAAACAGGCAGACTCTCGCCGTTGCTTGGACGACTATTAAGAAAATTCAAGATGACTGCGGCTGGCGTCTCCGATGTCTCGTATCGCTGCTCGAACAATTGCCGGAACTGTTGCCAAGTTATTCCTGGATAGCATATTTGAGACAACCATTGTGCCGCTCCGCCCTCCAACGCTTTGGTCAACGCTAATATGAGTGCGCTGTCATTCAGTGGTTTTGCTCGCAAAATGATGTCGACCGTAGCACACCACTGTGTGGCATCCACACCAGCAACGTCGGGATTATACTTTGGCAGGCAAATCTCACTCGTCGATTGTAACTCGCTCGCTGGCATCTGTATCTTCTTCACCAATTCCATAAAGTTCAGATTTTGCTGCTGCAGCAACGCTAAGACATTCGTTGAAGAAGTTGGGTTAGGGCCGAATCCCACTTCTGATATCGGCGAACAGGTAATTTCTATAGGCACGTCGTCAATAATGTTCTCCTGTTGCCTCAACCGCTGTTGATTCATACCAAGCTCTGGCTGATGCGGTGAGTCTTCGCTGCCAATGTTGCTTTCCATATCTTCTTATAATTCACACACGTGTCACAACCTCGCTGCATCAAAGCCAGAGAAAGAAGAAGGTAGCCAAAAGCAAGTGACCAAACCTAGCAACGCAAACGAAGCCACACCAGACTCAGTTTTCTAACTGAGTCCCCATACCACCAGAACTAGTACCTATTACAAGATTAGTAACCAGCTCATCCCATGGTCACACCGGAGAAAGCCTTTCTCTCCGACATACCTATTACAAGATTAGTAACCAGCTCATCCTATGGTCACACCAGAGAAAGCCTTTCTCTCCGACACATATATATTCTTGATCAGCATTAACAGGAGAATCGATTTAGCCATATCCGAAGGAACAAATTTTTTGAGCCATTTTCTCAAAATCTGATAAGGGGTACGTACCATCATTAAAATTCTCAAAAATTGAGAAAAAATGAAATGAAAAAAAGCCCTAAACGTAGTATGCATATTTGTTAAGCGTAGAAAACCCAATTCAGAACAGCTTTCCGAATTGTCCTCCAAAATTTGATTTCAAAATATAAAGTAATACTTTTTCTGGCTGAAGGAGTCATTTCCGACCCCATAAACCATATATATTCTTGATCAGCATTAACAGGAGAATCGATTTAGCCATATCCGAAGGAAAAAATTTTTTGAGCCATTTTCTCAAAATTTGATAAGGGGTACGTACCATCATTAAAATTCTCAAAAATTGAGAAAAAATGAAATGAAAAAAAGCCCTAAACGTAGTATGCATATTTGTTAAGCGTAGAAAACCCAATTCAGAACAGCTTTCCGAATTGTCCTCCAAAATTTGATTTCAAAATATAAAATAATACTTTTTCTGGCTGAAGGAGTCATTTCCGACCCCATAAATCATATATATTCTTGATCAGCATTAACAGGAGATTCGATTTAGCCATATCCGAAGGAAAAAATTTTTTGAGCCATTTTCTCAAAATTTGATAAAATTCTCAAAAATCGAGAAAAAATGAAATGAAAAAAAGCCCTAAACGTAGTATGCTTTCCGAATTGTCCTCCAAAATTTGATTTCAAAATATAAAATAATACTTTTTCTGGCTGAAGGAGTCATTTCCGACCCCATAAATCATATATATTCTTGATCAGCATTAACAGGAGAATCGATTTAGCCATATCCAAAGGAACAAATTTTTTGAGCCATTTTCTCAAAATCTGATAAGGGGTACGTACCATCATTAAAATTCTCAAAAATTGAGAAAAAATGAAATGAAAAAAAGCCCTAAACGTAGTATGCAGATTTGTTAAGCGTAGAAAACCCAATTCAGAACAGCTTTCCGAATTGTCCTCCAAAATTTGATTTCAAAATATAAAATAATACTTTTTCTGACTGAAGGAGTCATTTCCGACCCCATAAATCATATATATTCTTGATCAGCATTAACAGGAGAATCGATTTAGCCATATCCTAAGGAAAAAATTTTTGAGCCATTTTCTCAAAATTTGATAAGGGGTACCATCCGTAAAATTCTCAAAAATTGAGAAAAAATGAAATGAAAACAAGAAAGGAAGCTAACTTCGGCACGCCGAAGTTTGTATACCCTGCAGATTGGTTTTGATGTTTATATTATAGATTTAAATGCTGAAAACACACACAAAACAGAGTTTCATTACATTTTACCTATACTTATTATGTTTACATTTTGACAGTTACAGTTTTACATTCCCAGCTTTACATTTTCTCTACATTTACCGATCGTTTATATGGCAGCTATATGATATAGTTGTCCGATTTTCATAA